TAATTACCAGGGAGTTTATGTTAGACTGTCATCAGGATCAGGGGGTAGCTTCATATATCACAAACAAAGAACTATTTACTAATTACCAGGGAGTTTATGTTAGACTGTCATCAGGATCAGGGGGTAGCTTCATATATCACAAACAAAGAACTATTTACTAATTACCAGGGAGTTTATGTTAGACTGTCATCAGGATCAGGGGGCAGCTTCATATATCACAAACAAAGAACTACTTAGTAATTACCAGGGGGTTTATGTTAGACTGTCACCAGGATCATGGAGTAACTTAGTAATTACCAGGGGGTTTATGGTAGACTGTCATCAGGATCATGGAGTAACTTAGTAATTACCAGGGGGTTTATGTTAGACTGTCACCAGGATCATGGAGTAACTTAGTAATTACCAGGGGGTTTATGTTAGACTGTCACCAGGATCATGGAGTAACTTAGTAATTACCAGGGGGTTTATGGTAGACTGTCATCAGGATGATGGAGTAGCTTAGTAATTACCAGGGGGTTTATGTTAGACTGTCACCAGGATCATGGAGTAACTTAGTAATTACCAGGGGTTTATGGTAGACTGTCATCAGGATCATGGAGTAGCTTAGTAATTACCAGGGTTTATGTTAGACTGTCATCAGGATCATGGAGTAGCTTAGTAATTACCAGGGTTTATGGTAGACTGTCACCAGGATGATGGAGTAGCTTAGTAATTACCAGGAGGTTTATGGTAGACTGTCATCAGGATATGGAGTAGCTTAGTAATTACCAGGGGGTTTATGGTAGACTGTCATCAGGATGATGGAGTAGCTTAGTAATTACCAGGGGGTTTATGCTAGCGGCCACTACTTTCACAAGATACATTTTCTTTTCTTGCAGTAGAATCACAAATGGACAGTTTCGATATTATTTTGTACCTTCTGACCACTTTCCGAGAAGGTGTATTAACCTACTCACCCAAGATGAATTGGTGAACCTATTATCAGAAGAAGACGTTTTATGAAAAGCGGTTTTATTTGATCGTAAGTACTTCTTTAAAAACAATCATTACATTCTTTTGGAAATCAACATTAAAGCTCTGCGCAAAGTCGATTACAATTCATAACAAACACATTTTTTCATAAGATACTCGTCTGTTAAACATGAGGTATCTGCACACTACCAATTTATCTTGGGAAAATAACAACTCTTTTTTTGCCTGATTAGTAGAGACAAGGACTAGCTAAGATCGAACATGGTTTCAACTGGGGATTTTCAATTTGGATATACAAAATGTATAAAAATAACTGGGCACACTAAAATAAAATATAAGTTACTTTCTCAGAGTAGCTTTAAATACACATAGCTGCTGGTTTTTAAATACCTTGGAAGTATAGCTAACTACTAATTTTAGATGTAGCTCGTATGTTTTAGCTGATTACGTTTTCAAAATAGCTTCCTCAATGACGATGGCAAAACCTTGTCGAAACGTTGTACATTTGCTGTTATGTTAAACTTATATTAAAGTTTTTCTTCATTACCCATTCAAGCCGTCTCCAAGCATTATTAGTCTCAAAGTGGGTTTCTCGTCATCGAATTTGAATTCACCTTTGATTTTATTTGGAAAACGAAAATCTATGTAAGTGCTCAGTAGATGGCGCGCAAGACTCAATGTTTAACTTCCACCATTCGACGTAGATAAATCATGCTTTGAAGGCTGCAAATTGTTTTAAGAAAGTATACTCACACATATCACGTGTTTTAGTTTTGGTATGTCATATCATTAAAGACTATAAATAACGATTTCTAATGCGATTTACATATTTGTAAAATTTTCAAATAACTTATATGCGGATACACTTCTACATTGTTTCTATTTTAGCTTTCTGATTTGTAATATCAACATTAGTTTGTAAACTATTTTACACTAGGCGCTGAGCATAAAAAAAAATTGAAACACAGAATATTATTTGAAATAAACTTAACAATGTAGTAAAGAAAATATGGACAATAATGTTTCTAAATCATGTAACTTATTGAAAGATCCTACAATATACATCAGAACGAAGGGTACAAATGTATTCTAGATGTATTTCTTTAAAAATAACAAAAAACAAAAACAAACAATGAAATTAATAACAAAAAGTGCCTGAGTGTTCACTGTATCTCTAAAGTGTAAGGCCCGGCATGGCCAGGTGGTTAGGGTGCTCGACTCGCAATCTGAGGGTCGCCGGTTCGAATCCCTGTCCCACCAAACATGTTCGCCATTTCAGCCGTGGGGGCGTTATAATGTGACGGTCAATCCCATTATTCGTTGTTAAAAGAGTAGTCCAAGAGTTGGCGGTGGGTGGTGATGACTAGCTGCCTTCCCTCTAGTCTTACACTGCTAAATTAGGGACGGCTAGCGCAGATAGCCCTCGTGTAGCTTTGCGCGAAATTCAAACCAAACCTCTAAAGTGTAATACTTATAATTATAAACTTGCTAAACCTTTACCAGAAGACGTACATTCAGGCGCGGACAAAAATCTTAATCCATTGATTTTTATTTAAATCAAATTTTGGAACGCAAAAAAATCTTATTTCAAAATAAGACTGATACTTGACTACTTGAATTAGTAATCTAACGTATCTTTGAACCAATTGATAATGTGTGGCCTATTTGTTTAATATGCCCGGACGGTGGGTCCGAGAATTCCTGGTTCGCGTCTCATTATCTCAAACATGCGCTCTGCACGTTGGTACTGTGTCTTCATTATAAGAATGACGGTCAAATCCCACTATTCGGTTAGGGAAGAGAAACCCAAGAATTGGCGGTTGGTTATGTTGACTGGCTTCCTTATCTTTAATCTATAGTCCTTGTGTATATTTGCGTTATCATTCTAAAGAACAACTTAGTATCAATTCAAGTAATTCTTGTTAATTTGCCCACAACCCATAATTAGATTTGATTCGTTCTTTTTCAAACATCTAAATAACCATAAGATGGGTTCTATTTCACTGTTGTAGAATCACACATTTAGATTTTGTTGAAAGTGAAGCGAAGTTTATTTTTATACTAGATATAGTATCAATCTCACGTGTACACTGATAACTCAGTTACATCTTATTGTAATGGAGCTTGTGGTGTATACGTCCAAAACTCGGATCTCCGAAACTACCGCACCGATCATCACTAATCATAACTGGGTAATATTTTTTATAACTAAGCAGTATTTTTATAGCTGAGCAATAAATAAAACAGTTGAAATTTTCACAAAAATTATATGTTTCAGATTTAACCAATAAAAATACAAAAAGGAGTAAGTTTCAAATATAAAACAACCAAAAAACAAACTTAAAAAAATATTTGTTTTTCTTTAGTGAAAATCTAATGAGTGTTGCAACAGAAAAGCAAGGCACTTTCATTGATAACTTCGTCTACAAATAAATAGTTCAATAAAATTTACTCTGTGATGTAATGCTGTGATGATAGCTCATTTTTAAACTAATATTTCAATAAAATCCTTTTTTTTATGGATGGTGAACATTTCGAATGTCAAGTATGAGTACATTGTTGTAGAACTGTCAGACCATTCCAGAAAAGACCATAAGCCCAATAGTCTTCCTCAGGGACTAGAAGTTATACCTGCCCGGAGGGCGAGTATTTCTGCTAGTTGTTATAATGAAGTTCAGACGCCATACGTCATTCAGATACCAGTTGAGTTTTGAATGTCATACGTGTCAGTCTCACGTGCACACAATTAAGCTCTTATAATGAGGTTCAGGTGTCATACGTCATTCAGATACCAGTTGAGTTTTGAATGTCATACGTGTCAGTCTCACGTGCACACAATTAAGCTCTTATAATGAGGTTCAGGTGGCATACGTCATTCAGATACCAGTTGAGTTTTGAATGTCATACGTGTCAGTCTCACGTGCACACAATTAAGCTCTTATAATGAGGTTCAGGTGTCATACGCAATTCTGATAATAATCACAGCTGTGAATTTCTATAGCATATGAGACTGGTTATTAGTTTGTAATTTTGAGCCGAATAATAACTGATTCGTCTTCCTTATCTTTATTTGCAATATTTTACTTTGTGATTAAGATTATTTGACATCAGTCGTATTTTATACAGGACGATAACTATTTGTTTTAATAACAAAAATAGTTTTGGTTAAACTAAAATCGGCATCTTAACTTTTTATTTTCTTTTATTTGAATAAAGTGCATTAATGAATCTAATAAAAAAATGAGTTTCTGCGTTTGATTCTTTCATTTATTTATCAGTTTTGCTGATCATCCTAAAATGTGATTTTATTTCAACAGAAAACCTTTTCATAGGTTTCTATTATTTGAATCTTTTTATTTTTGCTATTTTAAACAGCAGTTGTTTTAAAACCACAACTAAATACTGTTTCTCCCAGGATATTCAAAATATTTTACATTACAGCTTTACTAAATTAATAGTCAATTTGACCAAAAAAGAAGTAATTCTAATATACTGAAATTCTTAAGAGGTTGCCTTAACCGTTAAAGACAGGTAAGACGTTGTTCTAGTTTATGGACTCAACATGTTGCAACTGAGAACCAGTACGTAACATCTAGCGCATGGTTTTCTTGGTACCCTTTTGTGTGAAACTAATGCATCTATAATCCTGCGTATCTTGCTTCTAGTACATAATATGTGCACCATCATCCTGTCTATTTATTCATTTTATAAATAAAATATGTTATGTAAAGTAGCTCACAAGGTTAACGTAACTCGCCGTTTTCGCCCTAGATAAAAAAAAACGTTCCCTGTTGGAAGAGTAACCTTAGACTATATATATTACGATGTAATTTGCTTGTTAGTAGGTCAGTGCCGTTATAAAAGCTTGTAGCGCTGTGTGGACCACATTGTTTTTATTTTTTTATAAGGTATCGTTAGTTATTGGGTTCGTGAAAATGAAAATCTTTGTTTCTGTGATCGTACTTTTTGTGTGTTTTCCTATTATATACTGCAGTGAAAGACAATACCCGATACACTCAGAGGATGGAGCTTTTATCACAAAGCCTACAATCTTCCCTGCCCAGCTGCTGGGACTTCAGACTGATGAGGTGAGACCAGTGGTTGTAGCCTTTCCACCAACAAATCTCAATAGCACAGCCCGATATCGGGCAACCGTGCTTGTTGTAACTGTTACTACTCCAAACCCTCGTGTTGTTCAAATAATTGGAAACGAATCTTTTCACATCGAAGAAGAAACTTTGCAAAGCACTGGTTTAAACCTCACTTTTCAGTTACGCGGTGTTTTCATTGGTTACGCCACAGTTTTTGTTCGAGTAGAAAGAATACTCAAGAATTTTCTAGTCCCAAAAAATATAGAAAGTAACCAGAACATGGAGAGGTTGCGAATACCAATCAGCAAAAGCTCCGAACAGCCAGAGACATCAACTATGACCCCCTTCCTAGAACAAATGGAGTCTGAATTCCATCAGTCCAGTTTTCCTCTAAACAATAATATCAACAATACTCGAGTGTTTGAGTTTTCGGTCAGTGTTATTAGAGCACCGTCGATATTGAAAGACGTTTTTACGTTCTTGGTTGCTATAGTAATTGGTATAAATTTCGTCAGTATGGGGTGCCAGCTAGATCTAAAGCTTATCAAGAAGGTGTTAATCAAGCCTGTTGGTCCGATCATCGGGTTTTTCTGTCAGTTTCTGTTTATGCCTTTGGTAAGATTTTTATTTTGCATATGATAATTTACGCATGTGATATATCTTATTTTATTCATAACATATCGGGATATATTGTTCTAGTCTGAATGATATACAATTTACATTAGAATTATAAAAAAATTAAAATGAACTTATTTATATTCTTTATTTGTTTATAAGCGAACTTAAATTGCAGCACATTATAGAACACATACTAATGAGCAAACTGTATGTGCATACGGAATTTATTGCACACTCCCTATCTCAAAGCAATTCAACTTGTGCTGAAATTTCTAAATGTGATTAATATTTAAGTCGGGTCTGTGTAACCACATAATGAAATATAAGTTTTAACACTTCGAGAGCAGATGGTTGACGTGCTTCTTTTCACAAAAACTACGTGAAGAGTAATGACAAGAAAAGTAATAAATGAAGATTTCCCCACAATATAAGTTTTAACACTTGGCGAGCAGTTGATTGACGTGCTTCTTTGCATAAAAACTACGTGAAGAGTAATGACAAGAAAAGTAATAAATGAAGATTTTACCACAATATAAGTTTTAACACTTGGAGAGCGGATGGTTGACGTGCTTCTTTTCACAAAAACTACGTGAAGAGTAATGACAAGAAAAGTAATAAATGAAGATTTCACCACAATATAAGTTTTAACACTTGGAGAGCAGTCGGTTGACATGCTTCTTTTCACAAAAACTACGTGAAGAGTAATGACAAGAAAAGAAATAAATGAAGATTTTACCACGATAAAAGTTTTATTTTCTTTGAAATAACCGTTTGACTATTTTTGACTATATTTTTCTCTTCCATTGAAAACATTGAGGACTTTCTTCTTCGAAATGATGTATTGTTTTTGGTTCTATATAATCCATATCAACCTGATAGTATCATATTCCACCAGCTACTGTCAAGACTGGAAGACATTTTATTAACCCGGTCAAAACGATTTGATTTTATATACAGGACAAATGACTGCCTGTTACGTGAGTTGGGTTGTAGAACTTGCTCGACGTTCATGGAAAAACGGTAACTAGTTTATATTCGCTTCGATAATGTGTTAATGGTCCCCTAATCTTAAGAATCCAGTAGCGGAGATATTAGGTAGAGGTACTCATACGATATAGTGATAATCATATGCTGTATTAGATCTTAATTGATCTAATGATATAATAATTCGGTATAAATGTCATATTATTTCATTATCAAATATTAATGAGTTGGTTGTTTTCTTAGTGCAAACAATACACAACGAAGGTTATAATCATATACTTGATCGTAGAGACTGAAAACTATTTGATGTATAGTCGTAGTTGCATAACTATTTGTATAGTTTGATAACTAAAGTAACATATCTGATTCTGATCGTAGAACTTGACAGATGTCACAGAAAGACATCTAACTATAGAGATTGACAAACTGGGAAAATTGACAGATCTTTGAAACCACAAAGACATGGAAATGAAGAAATAATAATAATAAATTAAGATCAAACAACCAATTCCAGATCATACCAAAGACCACTTGAAAAGATGACCCTCACTCCTCTACAAATATATACAGCTACACAGATGAACAACATATAAAGTTCCCAAAAGATAGCCTACTCTGATACATTTCAGAAACAGCAACCCAATGATTCGGTGAAAACCATAGCATAGAAGCTTAAGCATCGTTCACTTCAAGACTTCATGAAATGTTAAACTATTGTGAAATATTGTCTTTGTCAGAAAAAGATTAATTTAGATATAAAGGACAATATGAAAAAAATAGACTTAAAATGATATTCTATAGTTACTACATAGAAAAGATGAAGATATCATCTGTAAAAGTAAACAGTTTTACCAGCTTTCTTTATCTCCAATAAAGACATGTTCACAGAAGTCGCAGGTTAATAAGCCAATCAGCCATGCTCATCAGAATTTGAAAGTACAATAATATTAGTGATATAAATCGCATAATAAAAGAAGAAGAATGTAGATAACAACATCTGCCATCTAATGTATTTTTACCAGTATGTTCCGTTGGTTTCATTGCCTCGTCAGTTTTGGGGTGATTTTTATCACTATTATTATGACCATTGGTTTCACTGCTTCATGATTTCCATCACTATTACTTAGCCCGTTGGTTTAGTTACTTCACGATTTTTTGGGTGATTTATATCAGAATTATTGGGTCCGTTGCTTTCATTACTTCGCGATTTTTTGGGTGATTTGTATTACTATTATAGGCCTGTTGGTTTCAGTGTTTCACTATTTCGAGGGGATCTGTATTACTATTATAGGCCTGTTGGTGTCATTGTTTCAAGATTTTGAGGTGATTTGTATTAGTATTATAGGCCTGATGGTTTCACTGTTTCACGATTTTGAGGTGATTTGTATCACTTTTATAGGCCTGTTGGTTTCATTGTTTTACGATTTTGAGGTGATTTGTATCACTATTATAGGCCTGTTGGTTTCATTGTTTCAAGATTTTGAGGTGATTTGTATTACTATTATACCCCTGTTGGTTTCATTACTTAAGACCATAACTTCAGGTTCAAACAGTAATTTTCAGTCACCTTCAGTTTTAATGAACTTTTATTGCATGGCTTCTAAATGTGGTCAATCACAATAGACAAACGTGTTTTCTTCATTAACGTTAGTATCTTGTTAATGATCTACGAAGAGATAGATGGACTGGAAGCTGAGTTTATATATATATATATATATATATGTATGAATGATTTCCAATTTTTAGTTCTAAATACAGTAAAAATATACATTATCTCAAAGAAGGTCAAATTTCAATCATATTCTTAAACATTACACTCAAATGATGTTTTAAACTTGATTAGCACCTTATACGCTACACTGGCCAGGTCAGAGCCTCCGAAGTCCAGATATACTCATCTTTAACTTAGAATTGCTGACCACAGGAAGTGCCCCCCAGTAGCACAGCGGTATGTCTGCGGACTAACAACGCTAGAATCCGGGTTTCGATACCCGTGGTGGGCAGAGCACAGATAGCCCATTGTGTAGCTTTGTACTTAACTTAAAAAACAAAAAAAAACAAAAACAAACAGACCACAGGAAGAACAACTAGACATCAGCACCTCTCCCCTATACGTATATTCTTAACCATGTGGCGGAATCGACTGCCATTTTCATAACGCGTCCACATCTAAAAGTGAGGAGCGTGTTCAGCAACTTATTGTGAGTTCAAGCCATGACCTTTCGATACACAGCCCGACACGCTAATCGTAAATCACCACTAGACTCATATTTTAAATGAACTCCATTATAAACGAAGACTGTCGTATCTTTCTTTATTATTTCAAAAACAAAATCCATTCTCTTCCCGATTCATACAATGCATTGAAAACTGAAAGCATGAAATACCACATTATGATAAATAGAAGAGACGTGTATTATGCACATTATTTCTTCACTCACGTGTGTTTTCACCACGATAACCATGCAAGCTCCTAATCAAAATCAAATCATTTGTTATATTTAGATACCACATGGGGCAGAAGAAATTAAAGCTCAACAAATTAAAGGTACGTAACCTCATTAGTTCCTGTTCAGGGAACCTTGCAAGAACACAAGACTATAATAATTTTTGCTGTGACTGGTGTATTGCCCTACATGTGCTATATGTTGATAGAGTCTTCCTTCGTTGAGCCACTTCTGTGTGGATAGATAACTTGTTTGTAAGAATTGAGTCACAAGGCGTTTGTTTCTAAAAATGAATCTTTTTGTGCATTTATTGGCCTACTTTAATGCATGTTCGTTATGACTAAAGGGATTAAAAATAATTTTGCTATTTTTCCTGTTGCTTAGGTAACTGTTTCTAACTCTTCCATCCATATTTTATCTTTATACGTTTTATTTAAGGTAAAATATGTAAATTATTTAACAGAATAGACTTTTAAACGGACAACTATTCTTTCTTGTAGTTTTGAAGTTTTCCTGAATCTTATTATTTTTGATTTTCGCGCAAAGCTACACGGGGGTATCTGCGCTATCCGTACCTAACTTAGACTAGAGAGAAGGCAGCTAGTCATCACCACCCACCGCCAACTCTTGGGCTACTCTTTTACCAACGAATAGTGGAATTTACCGTCATATTATAATGACCCCACGGCTGAAAGGGCGAGCATGTTTGATGGGACGAGAATTCGAACCCGTGACCCATAAATTGCGAGTCGAGCTCCCTAACCACCTGGCCATGGCGGGTCCTCCTGACTCTTAACGACAGCTATCCTTTCTTGTAGTCTTAAAGCTCTTCTGAATGTTAAAAACAACTATCTTTCCCTGTGGTCCTAAAGCTCTTCTGAATGTTAACAACAACTATCTTTCCCTGTGGTCTTAAAGCTCTTCTGAATGTTAACAACAACTATCTTTCCCTGTGGTCTTAAAGCTCTTCTGAATGTTAACAACAACTATCTTTCCCTGTGGTCTTAAAGCTCTTCTGAATGTTAACAACAACTATCTTTCCCTGTGGTCTTAAAGCTCTTCTCCTGAATGTTAACAACAACTATCTTTCCCTGTGATCTTAAAGCTCTCCTGAATATTAACAACAACTATCTTTCCCTGTGGTCTTAAAGCTCTTCTGAATGTTAACAACAACTATCTTTCCCTGTGGTCTTAAAGCTCTCCTAAATGTTAACGACAACAATCACTTCTTGTAGTCTTAAAGCTCTCCTAAATGTCAATGAAAGCTGCACTTTGTTGTATTCTTGAAACTCTTATGAATTGTAACTAACTCTACCCTTGTTTTTATCCCCTTTACGTCTTAATAAAACACATTTCAAAAACATTATGATTATGTTTACTGTACCACTGAAAAAGGAGAAAACCTCATTCTTGTAAGATATTTTAATTGCTAAATATGAATATCGTTGTTTGAAAAGATAAATATATTATTTTTGTTAACAACAATCGGTGACTGAAAGAATAAACGTACAGTGATGACACACGCGTTTTAACGTCATATGTGTTCTTAGCTCAGCTTGACACACGCCTTTTAACATCTTACATATCCTCTGTTCGCTCAGCTGTGACACAGCGTTTTAACGCATATGTGTTCTTAGCTCAGCTTGACACACGCCTTTTAACATCTTACATATCCTCTGCTCAGCTGTGACATACGTATTTTAACATCATAAAACTCCCCTGCTCAACTGTGACACATGCGTTTCAACGCCATAAATTCGTTGGTAAAAGGGTAGCCCAAGAGTTGGCGGTGGGTGGTGGTGACTAGCTGCTTTCCATATAGTCTTACACTGCTAAATTAGGAACGGCTAGCGCAGATAGCCCTAGTGTAGCTTTGCGCGAAATCTATAACAAACAAAGAAACACCATAAATATCGTCAGCGACAATATACATCTCTAGTTCAGTAGATTTCGTCGATAAAATAACAATTATTTTTCTGTTTACACAATTTTCCAAACGTATTTTATATTCTTTTTTCTGTTGTTTTATACATCCGCAACAGGAACTGTTGATCATAATACATAGGTAAAGAAAACGACTCAAGAACGCTGCTCGCCAAGGTTTTATATATGTACATACATCTGTACATTCTGTGTTAAAATATATTTAATTTTGAAAGACTATCCCTGATGCTAATATTGTCAGCACAAGAAAAGAAATATCTCATTTTAAAGGCAAAATGTCTCTGTCTGTATATCTGATCATAACAAGGATAATATTGGACTTGTTGACAATAATATACTGTAGATGTCGTGAATGTTATGAACTTAAAATTACATAAAAAATACTATATAGGAAAACAAAATTATAAAGAACCTGCTCAATGGTTTAGAAACTGGCATAGAATCTTGTTATTGAGGAAAAGAAATAAATATGCCTATCTTACGCTTAAAGTTTATCTTCTCGCTCGTACTGTGAATAGGGTTTTGTTTCCTTAACAGACGCACGAGAGATAGGTGTTTTTGAGATAGTGACTGAATATATTTTCGTCACAAAATCACATATCAGTAATGAATAATCAGTTTAAGCTATAACTGACTTAGTTTAGTAGCCATTAGGGATCGCAGCAGGTTCATTGCTCCTCTTTTTTTCCTGTTGGATGACCTAATATTTGCTGAATTTAACACATTCTTCTCGTCTTTCCCAAAGTAAAAATTACCACCTTTTCTTTTATTAGTGGGAATGGCACTTCTTTTCTCGGTTAATGTTCTGTTTAACTGAACACGCAATCACACAAAATGTGAGTTTCAAAATGTCTCAGGACCTTCAATACTGTAATAAATAGTTACAGGGGCTGCTATGAATTTTCGCTCTCTCTCTTGCGTCTTACCAACAACACGATTTTATATATACACCTGGAAAAAAGTTAAGCACCCCCGTGTTTTTTTCAAGTGATTCAGATTCGACGTT